AGCACCTTAACCACCTGGCCATGCCGGGCCGATAAGTGAGGATACATGAATGAAAGAAAGCGGACCAAAGCAAAAATTATTTAATAAAAAATACCTTTAGAACAAGTAGCGGTAAAAACATATATATAAAAAAAAACAAGGACAAAGTATTAAAAAGAGTGCAAGAAGAGACATGATTAAATACATGGATAATGTTGCTAAAGAAACTGAAACAATTGTTGAAAGAAATGATAGTAAAACCATTTATCGAATCAACGAATTTCTAACTGGCAAATTCACATCAGATGACTAGTCTTTTAAGGAAAAGCAGCGACAAAGACCCTAACAACAGGGAGGAAGAAAACGATAGGCAGATAACTTTTAAGAGGTACCAATCAGGCCAACACAGCAAAACAGCTATTGACTTTGAAAAACAAGCACCCCAAATTAGGTATAGCAACATTTTATATCACAAACAGAGAATTGGTTGGAAACAAAATAAGGTTTGGCAATTCTGTAGATAAAGACCAAGTCACTGGAGAAATGTTGAAATGCGGTGACGATGAGACAATCAATAAAATCACCAACCTCTTCAATAAAAATAGAAGCCCGGCATGGTCAGGTGGTTAAGGCGCTCGACTCGCAATCTGAGATACCAAACATGCTCGCCCTTTCGGCCGTGGGGGCGTTATAATGTGACGGTCAATCCCACTCTTCGTTGGTAAAAGAGTAGCCCGAGAGTTGGCGGTGGGTGGTGATGACTTCTTCACTTCGTTGTTGTTATCTCCAAACTTGGCATTAAAGTACCTCGTTTGACAAAGATGTCATGCCTGGAAACATTGTCAGTCTCAGTTTAATCTTTTTATCTCATAACTGTAGTTGTCTGTTGTTGTATAGCGTTAAGTAATTGTCATTTTCATGAATTTTGCATGAAACCTAACTCAGATGACTGCTAACGGACTTCCAGTCTTTGGGTGATTGTTGTACTTTGGAAAATAAATTATTTCAACACTGCTTATTCAACAAGATAAATAAGCAGACTTCACTATAATATTGTACTTTAATTTGGAAACTTTAATAATATAATTGACGTAGCTTTTAAACATGTACACAGGAAGTTTAAAAGAATGACTATTTGAGTTGACTAACATAATTTGTTTTGTGCTTATATATACGACAATGGTTTTTAATTTCCACAAAAAGTTGACCCCATATATTTAGTTTATATGATTATAATTAATTACGGAAAACTACTTTTGTGCTTAAACAACTTTTGTTCTTGTTTTCTATAAATGTTGTCTGTTGTAGACGCTAAAAAACATAAATCAATAAAAAAAATCAATTTTTCTTTAAAGCTGGATTCATTAATTATTGGTTATAATACTTCAAATTCTTTTCATTAATTCATTATCTAACATTGTTATTATCATTAAGTTCTATATTTATGAAGATTATGTTACATTGTTAGCTTTGTCTATGAATTTAGGATTAACTGAAATCTACTAAACTGGCCGAAAATTGTGAGATATAACTAACTATCCGTCCTGATGAGCTCTGGATTGAGCGAAACGCGTCGTCGGCAATGGATATAATGAACATAATATGTTTGAAATACTATTATTATACAATCTTCTAATTTTCAAAAATTCCAAAAGGACAAAGGCAGTGTTAAAAATATAATGGGCCTAATATTAATGCCTGATGACAAATATAGTTAGTTATAATCATGGTTCGCCAGCTTGGAAAAGGCGTTCACCCCATAAGAATTTTGAGATATTATTGATATATCTACTGAAAATATCAATAATAGTGAGGGTACCCAAATGATGATTCAATACATTCAATGAGTTTACTTTTTCTAATCCATTTCTAATCCAGTATGTACTTCTAGTCGGTTTTGGTTTATAGAGTTAAGTTCAGTAATCTATAAGTTGCATTTTAGTTTTGATCTATATATTAGCATACTTTGGATGAGAAGTTATTCCAACTTATACTTTGTAATAAGAAAAGTGTTACTAAAAATATGATTTTTTGGTCGAGGTGCATTTACATAAGGCTACAACAAATCCGTGATTAAGTCTGAAAATTAAATTTTGAATATAGTCAACTTTATCGTGATAGTAATTATTAAATTCAAATCCCGTTTTTAAGCTGAGCTACTCGTCACAATTTATATTATATTTGTTTCTAACTTTCTATATCTGTACTACTTTACATTGTTATACTACAAGTACTTACCATATCTTTTGATTTTATAGGTGTTGACATTAGAACACTATCTTATTATGATGTGTAACAGACAGAAGGCTTTCCATTGTATTCTGTTCATTTTGCTCCTCCATCTCTCTGATGGATTCAAGTGTTTGAGAAACTACGACCCCATCTGTAAAACAGTATATTGTTCTACCATGCTCCCAAAGAAACGTTTATATTGTACGCTAGAGGATGATCGAGAACATCACAATATTGTACAGACTGCTTATGTGATTACATATGAATTTCATAATTATCTCAAAGTTGAATGTGACAAGAATACTCCCTACAAACTAAATATGTTCACAGAACTTGATGTACCAGAAATTGGTGATATAATCTTTATTGGATGCCCGTTACCAAACTTGCGATTCAGTGATATTTTGTCTGGATTGAAAGTAAGAAAGTTAACATTTGAAAGTCGAAAATCCATATCACAGTTGAATGTTTCTCTATTCGAAGAACTGACGTCGTTAAACGAATTAAATCTGTCAAAAAATAATATTTCTATTCTGCCAAGTGATATCTTTCAAAATTTTATTAATATTACATCACTGTATCTTTCCGATAATAACTTAGAGATACTACCAGAAAATATTTTTCAATCGTTAACAAACTTGGAAAAATTGGAACTTGGATCCAACCAATTGCTTGAGCTTCCAGTAGGGATTTTCAGAAATCTTTGGAAACTAAAACGCATGTATTTGTACAGAAACAAGTTAAGTACTCTCACAAGGGATCTGTTCAGCGGTCTTAAAGCCCTGGAAAGTTTAAATTTATATGGGAATGAGTTAATACACTTACCAGAAGACGTATTCTCAGATCTATCAACACTTAAATTTTTAAGCCTGTCCGAAAACAAACTTAAAAATATATCAAATAAACTGTTCAGAAAAAACCTGGCTCTTGAGAAATTGAACCTCAATTATAACCCAACTATTAAAAATCTTCCTGGTGATCTTTTGGCTGGATTATCAAAACTAAGAAAGTTCTACATTAGTCATTGCAACTTAACAAATATTCCCAGTTTGCTGTTTTCAAAAGCACCAAATCTGTTAGAAATAAGTATGATAAATAATAGTCTGTCCTCTCTTCCTGCTGAAGTATTTCAAGGTAACGTAAAGTTAAGTGATTTGAATATGAGCCATAATAATCTCACATCGTTACCTTTAGGGATATTTGATAAACAAACCAACCTTCGAACACTTCTATTAAACAACAACAAAATCGAGAGTTTAAAGCCAGGCATATTTGCAAATCTTATTAATCTACAGGAAATTAATCTTGAATCAAATCTTCTAAAAAAAGTTAGTGATACACTTTTTGAAAATTTTCCTAAACTGGAAATCTTAAATCTTCGAAACAATCAGATAACATTTGTAGCATATGATAACCCAACAAAACTCAAAAATATTGATCTGACACACAACAAACTCAAAGAATTACCTGATATAAATTGGTTGATGGCAGTGAATTTAAAAGTTTTGTATCTACAAAACAACCAAATTACGAACCTCACAATTCCGATTATATACTCTCACAGTGCTAATATTTTTCTGCAAAATAATCAGATCGAAACAGTGAAAATGGATGAAGTAAAAGAATACAAATTTTCTTCGAAGGCTACCTCTGAGTTAAACCATTCAAAAGATCTTCCAGAAGAAGCCCATGTTTTTTACCTCAGCGATAATCCATTCCAATGTGATTGTAACTTGCTGGAATTTTCTGATTATTTAAAACAATCCTTTCTTAATATTGACACTATTGCGAAGTTTTCCAGCACAAAGGATTTGACGTGTAATGGCCCTTCTCATTTGGCCGGGAAGACTATTATCAGTGTTCCAAGGGATGCATTCACTTGTGTTGTGGAAAATGATTGCCCGGGTTTGTGTCACTGTTATTTTCGAGCTTCTGATAAGACACTACTTGTAAACTGTAGTGGGTTACACCAGGATTATCTGCCACCATTACTTCCGGAGAAAGCTACCGTTTTACACTTCGAGAAAAATAATATTAAGTCTCTTAATGTCACGTCATTTGAAATGTACAGAAATCTCACGGAAATATATTTAGACGAAAATCATATCTCCTCTATTGATAATTGGAATTTGCCTCCAAAGCTTGAAGTGATATCTTTGAGAGGAAATTACTTAACTGGAGTTTCCAATAATATAATTAAACAAGCTGAAAATTTACAGAGTTTAAATCTACGTCTTGGAAAAAATCCTTGGAAATGTGATTGTCATGCGTTAGAGTTCAAATTATGGCTGACGGAACATTTGCAGAAAGTCACAGATATAGAAGATATTTATTGCTCAGAACCAATGAAACTTAATGGAACACTATACAACGAATTACTTGTACAAATACCAGATACTGTTCTGTGTCCACATAATAACTGGCCACAGAAAATTAAGTTAATAAGTATTTCTGTAATAAGTGTGGTTTTTGCTGTGCTTTTATTTGTAGCATCTGTGTTTTATTATCGCAATAAGCGGACGTTTATTGCTTATATGTATATTCATTTATATAGTATTTTTACATGTTTCTTTACTGAAAAAGAACTAGACGAAGACAAGATATTTGATGCTTTCATTTCATATAGCAGCTCAGACAGAGAAGTTTCTTTTAGCATTTTGAAAGAACTGGAAAACAATGAACCATATTTTAAACTCTGCATTCACGATCGTGATTGGTTGGTTGGAAATGCTATCAGCTGGAATATAGTTAATTCAGTTCAGAGCAGCAAAAAAACAATCCTAGTTATCTCCAAAGACTTCTTGGAGAGTGTGTGGTTTCGAATAGAATTTCACACTGCATATTACCAAATGTTGAAAGATAAAGTCGATCGTTTGATTGTTGTGGTCAGAGGGGAATTACCTCCAAGTGGTACTCTTGACAAGGACTTTCAGTTTCTGTTGTCAACGAAAACTTATCTTGTGTGGGGAGAGAAATGGTTTTGGGAAAAATTAAGATACGCCATGCCTCACCACAAATCGTTGAGTGTTCCCAAAAATAACACACCTTTCCGTAATCGACCACCATCAACAATCCTGAACACTGTAAACAAACAGATAGAAAGTAACATTATCAATGAGAATAGAAATAAAAAACACAACATTCTGCCTAAAAGGAACAAAGAAGTAGCATCTAATGAAAATAACTTACAGGTATTAACTATTCCTATGGAATCTTCAAGGAGAAATGGCGAAGTTTTTATTTGTTCAAGAGTATGACATTTCAAATATAACATGAATGTATATATATGTCTACACATATGAAAAGTAATAATTATTTTTTGCTCAGAACTTCATCTCTTTACATTTGCAGAGGTCACTAAATTATGTCTAAACATATTATTTTGAATTAGATCAATACCCATCATATGACGGTAAACGCTGATTAATTTTTCTTCTGAAAATTTAATCTAAATAAATGTTTAATGAAAAAATAATTATACATTTGTAGAAACAATATATGTATAGAGAATGTCTATCTTCTTTGTAGTATTTGATTAAAACAACATTTTGTATGTGTATTTGATCAACTACTTTAACTTTTCCTCGAATTTTATTTTCATTTATCTATGTTTTTCTTGATAAGGCGTTGTGGAAAAACATTAATATTATGCACTGTAGCGCTACCTATTGGGTTGGAAGACATTCAAGTTGTTTTTGACACACACAGTCACTGATGTTTAATATGTAATACGATACGATCCCTAATTTAATCTATAATTGTCTGAATATTCGAAGATCTTGTTGTAAATATATAAAAATTAACACACAATCCCGTATCCTATAAGACTCGAATGCGAAACTTCGAGATGCTAGTCGAGCACTATAACCACCGTGACACTCAGTATTCGCAATCGATAGTTAACAAATCTCTAATACTGTATAAAATATCATGTTTCTTTTGTAGATTTTCCTAATATTGCAATATCTTGCTCTAAGCATAATGAGTTAATAACTACTAATAGTTATAGGAAATCCACACTCTACTGGGATTTTGAACTCGAGGCTTCAACTTGTTGTACCTGATGGTGACAAAACGTTGTACAGTTGCTGTTATGTTAAACTTGTATTAAAGTTTTCTTCATTACCAATTCAAGCTGTCACCGAGCATTATTAACTTGTTTGTCTGTTTGTAGTTAAGCCCAAAGCAAAACAAAGGTCTATTTGTGCTCTGCCCACCACGGGTATCGAAACCCGGTTTCTAGCGTTGTAAGTCCGCAGATATACCGCTGTGCCACTGGGGAGCACTTGAACTTCAAACAAACAACTGAACCAATTTGAACGTTGAAAGTCGAACATTACCGACAAAGGTAGCATTACAAATATAATGTAGCTTTTATTATATAGACAAGCTGAATGCCTGTCATATGAGGGTAAATGCTGATTATTTTTTTTTTTCTGAAAATAAAATTCAAATAAATGTTTTCTTAAAATTAATTATATTATAGTAGTAATATATAAATAAAGAATTTTTTATCATTTTTTCTAGTATTTTCACGAAAACAACATATTTTGTCATCTCCTGTAAATAGTCCTTGATTAGAAGTTTTACTGATGTATGTTGTTATTTTATGTTCAAATCTTCTTCTTGACAAAGCCTTATAGATTAAACCATCTGAAAGAACCGGTTCCTGAAGAAATATTTCTACATGGTCAATTGAATATTTGAACCTGTGTTTTATTAATTGTGATGGTAAAAGTACTTAATTTTATGGTAAAGGGCAAATCCACGAAGATAGTATTTTTGATAAAAAAATGCTTATAAATTTTTGACTAAATGTTTAATAAACTCTTACCTAAGGTGAAAATATGTATAATAATGTATTTTAGCGCCATCTATTGTGATGTAAACAAAGATACGATATCCTACAGGATATCGTATCTTTGTGTTAAATTGATTTCTTGAACTTACATGTTTTTCTAACATCATAAAACTGTGTTGAAAAAATAGTAAGTTGTTTTTCACACATAAAGCATTATCTAATCAACAACTGTATTTGTATTTTTGAGAATATTTAAAGAGCTCGTTGTAAATATTATAATAAATATAAAAATGAAATTAACATAAATTCCCGATACGACTGGGATTTGAACTCGAGACTTCTACATGATAGTCGAGCACAATAGCCACTGTAATCAAATAATTGAAATCCCTAATGTAAACTATCATGTTCTTGTAATATCTTGCCCTAAGCATAATGAGTTAATAACTACAAAAAGGTATAAAAAAAATTCCCACTCTACTGGGATTTCCGTTTAACCCAACTCATCGAGCCAATTTGAATGTTACCAACAAATGGAGCATTCCGAACCAACTCTGTGTGTGTTTTCTTATAGCATAGGGTATCTGCTGTGTCCACCGAGGGGAATCCCCTGATTTTAGCATTGTAAATCCGAAGACTTACCACTGTTCCACAAACAGTGGCATTTATTGTATAGAATGATACTGGTTATTGATTTAAAATACATTGTAATTACCATGGTTAGTGTTCAAATTTTTAAGTACTTTTATATTACTTTATGTTGGCATTAAATGGTGTTTGACATATTTGTATTATGATTTTCTTTCTTTTTTTTTTAAAAAAAAGCCTACTTACTTCTGAACATTTAGTTTATGACATACATTATCGTTACCAGTTTTGTGCGGATGTGATACAGGTAGTATGGTTCATAATAAAAGTGAAGAATTAACTTTTTTCAATGTATACATATGTATATATTTCAATTAATAGGCATATTTTATAAACAGTTTATGTAGTCTCTTATAAACTTTAAATTATGTTCAATTATTATGTTGAAGTATGTTTGCTTTTCAAATAGTATCCTTTGGTACCTGTCCACTGTCTATTGACATACAAAAAAAAAATGAAACAGAGAGAATTGCATTCTGACTTTTTAACCTCCTTTATATCTCTGGGAAACCCTGTTTGACCCTAATACTTAATGTTTAATCCCTCGGCCTTTATACTTTAGGTAAATTCTAATATTTATCATACAATCCTAAGGATCAGAAATATCGCTAAACAGAAAAAAAAATTCTGTCTTCAACAAAAATCCTTGCCATAAACACACTTTGAGGCCGCAGTCTCCATTTTAACATTTTGCTTACCTTTAACATATTTATATATAAAAAAAATCCTTAATATTATCACCCAGCTGTTTCTTATTATCCCTATTGGATTTCGTAATTGCTCTTTTAACTAAATCCCTATCCTCACTACAGTTCTGTAAATCTTCTGTCGATATAAAGTTTTTAACCTTACGATATTTATCCCCGATTTTCTCCTTTGTGTTTTTAGTAAATCACTTAGGTTTGCACTTCTCTTTTTAGGAACAAGCCTATCTTGAATTTAAAGAAATTTATTTTTAAAAATTCCCAGAATCTGCCCCTAATCACCGTTTATCTCGTCACCCCATTTATTTAATGATAAATTGTCTATGACCTCAAAATCCTCTTTCTGAAAATAAGAAATTAGTCACTTACTTTTTATCTTGACATGTAGCAAAACATCAGACATCAATTTCCATAAATGTTCCTCTATTACAACCATATTCTCATCAAAGTGTTAACAATAAATCTACAGTGGTATCCCCATGGTTTGCCCTCTTACTATTTGGTATAGAAAACCACCTTAAACCACCACAAAAAATTTCACTCCCTCACTATTTTATTCCGCACGATCCCAATAAGTCTACAATTGTCTTCCATAATTACAGTATATCATTATGCAATTCTCGCTGACCTCATCTGTCTAAAAAGGTGACCAATAACAAGTGCTAATTCAAAACTTTCTACCTATGATTGTAACACATAATATTCAACATCTTGACTAGTTTCATGTCTTCAATCCCAACAAGGCTGTCGTTCATTCCTCCTATACAGAGTCACTCCACCTCTCTTTCAAGTCTATAACTATTCAAATAACTTAAAACACTGAATTTAAAAAAAATCCTATTATCAAGGTCCTTAAAAGCTAACCGAGTTTCAGTAATTACTATTACATCGTAGTCTTGCATTTCAACTAGTCCCGCATGTTCCTTAAAATCTACACTAGTTTATGATGTGAACTGAATTGAAAATTACGCACAGAGATCCCCTTAATTTTAATACGATTGATTTGCTTTCAATTGATGGGCATGTTATCTCTTATTCTTAATTTTTTGAAAATCTGTAACTCTACTTAAATTTCTAAGTTTGCTCATGTTTTCTGTTTCGAGAGTTTCCTTTTCAAAGAGCATGCAATTGTTTATCTAATACAACTTAAAACAATACGCATTTATTGCGTATGTATTATTGAATCGGCAAACACAGGTTTCGAATAAAAACGTACGTATGCTTATAACTTAGCAACAAGTTTTCATTGAAATATCAAATTCAAAGTATACTGATGTGAAATGCAGATATGCAAATCAAATAGCTGCGTTTAGCGACAAATTTTCATTTTAAATCGCAAGTTTACGAATTGATACTTTTTACTAAGAAAATAAATAATTTCAATTTTTATAAAACTTCTATTAAAAAACATAACCTAAGACGAAGATTTTTTTAGGTTGAATTGGCCATAGGTCTCAAATTCCTTTAAACTGCATGATTTCATGAGAACTAAATTTTCACATCAGAAAATTATTCATTTTTATTTGGCGTACTAACTCTCTCACTAATTGTTACGTAATAAATCTTTTCTATTATTTCAAGGTAAACAAAAAATTATAAATTGGTTGATTGTTGTTTTAAGTGCAAAGCTACACAATAAGCAAAATGCGCTAGGACCACAGCGTGGAATCGAAACTCGGATAAAAGCTTTATTAACACGATGGATATAAATATGTATAGTGCGATTGACTTTTGTTTGTTTTTTTAGAAAAATAGTTATGAGTAATATAAATATTTTGGGAGGGCATACACGCTTTTAACCATAGAGGCCGAACAGAGGTAAGTTTTAGAAAACCATCAAAAGTTTGAAAAATTAGCATCTCATATTTCGATTACACTTTGCTCTGGAGACCGATATACGCTTTTACAAATTTTCATCCGCAAAGTGCTTTTTCTTACTTCCTGCCTATTATTATTTTATACCCATCTCTTAAAATTTTGCAACTGCTCCACAACGATTGTTTGTTTGTTTGAAGTTAAGCACAAAGCTACACAAAGGGCTATCTGTGCTCTGCCCACCACGGGTATCGAAACCCGGTTTCTAACGTTGTAAATCCGCAGACATACCGCTGTGCCACTGGGGGGCGCTCCACAACGACTAAATACGTCTAGTCATTTTAGTACTAATGTTATCACATTTAAGTTTTTCCTAAAATGGCTGTGATTAAAAAAAAGCACTTCTAGATATTTTAATTTAAGTTGAATTATATTCGAGATTATTTTCTTTTAATTTTTCCAACCATAATTATAATAAAACTTAGAGAAAAATCTGTAAGCTCACATGTGGACATAGATTTCAATTATCATATATAGCAGAAATAATTACAAGTTATCTTTAATTTAAAACTTGCAAATACTTTCGTTTTTGTTCCTGCCTTTTAGTTATTTCACCTAAAGAGGTTTCTTTTTATTTATTTATTATGAAATGTAATGTTAATATTTGTTTTGTGCGATTTTGCGCAAAGCTACAGAGGAGCTTTCTCTAATTTTAAAAAGACTGGAGGAAAATCACCCACTGAATAGTACCATTTGACCGAACTTTTATAACGTACCCACAGTTTCAAATTGCGAAGTGTGATTTTTTTTGGGGGGGGGGCGGTAACAGGACGCGAAACATGAAATATCAGTTTTACATTCCAGTATGCCCGCTCTCGTCCCATTGTCAAGTATTATTCTCAAACAAAGTATCAAGTAAGGAGATAATCTTGCTATAAACTATTTTTTTTATAAGTAGGGTGGGATAATTATCTAAATCATTATTAGTTAAAAGTAAGAGGGGTGAGGAATTTTAAAGTAATAGATATTTTTCAAGAATTGGAATATGAGAAGAAATTTCTTTATATGACAAAATTGCCCGTTAAATGTGCGCTTGCAAACAGTAGACTGCCCGGAAGTCACGCATGTGTAACTTTATCCTGTTCACTAAGAATTCAGTGGTTAGTTATATTCAAAACTCAAACTGTGCTGAACGATCAAATTAATACATGCTCAATAGTTTCTACAATTTACCGTAAGTATTTAGAATACTAAGATCTTTTTTTTTTTATTGGCTTGGAGGGCACCGAATTTATATGTCGCACAGTTCGCCATGACACATCGATAATAGACACTGAACGAATAATTTACACAGGTTGTATTTAATGTGTATTTGTTTTATAATTATTTCCTTTACATTTTCGAATGATATGCATCTGCTTCAATTAATATAACCACGAAGTAGCTATTGTAAAATTACTATTCTTGTCAAGCGTGTTTTCTTATAGCAAAGCCACATCGAACTATTCTTCTGTCCACCGAGTGGAATCGAACCCCTGTCCCACCGGGGAATATTTGTCAAGCGAATTCTAATGTTGAATGATTGTTTTCAAAGCAAATGGAAAATATATCGCTGAAAATATCTTACAGGTTCGAAATAAACAATTCCATATGTTCATGATTTTAAACCCTTATTTTCTTAAAAATGAGGCCATCAACCAAATATAAATTGTGTGCCGTTGTTGCAAATGGCACATGATGATGTAAATTTTCACTGATCTAGCCTTTTACTCTGCAGATATGTTTGAATGAGAAATGAATGATAACGAGAAATCAATACGAGAACATCTTTGTACAAATTATCAAAAGATTATACATAATTCATAAATAAAGGTAAAAAAATACTCATATTACCTTAATTAAAGGATACCATAAACGTTTAAAGATAGTTTTGTGGCCATCCATGATGTATTAAAAGCCGTTTTAACAGAATAAACTGTAAAGTGTTCCCACTCGTTACAGCATAAATGGAGGCTAGATGTGTAAACATTATTTATGAATAAATAGCTTAGAATTAAAAGTAAAACAGAAAAAAGCCTCCTTTCCGGTGAAATGAATATAATTTGAATAAAAAAATACCACTCATGTACCATTTTTCAAATTGGGAATGAACTTCAAATTCTAAACCCTGTATGTGACTATTAACCACGTTTCGGTAAAATTAACGTTTTTCTTGAAATTTCCTAGCGTAATAATACAACAGCTGTACTATACAGGGACGCAAGTTCGTTTAGCTGCGAGGGGTCGTATATCTCGGTAACCTACAACGAAACTTTTTTACGACTATTATTTTTTGACGCGACTATTTTACATATGATTGGTATTTAGTATTCCAGGCATTAATTTGTAAAATAAATAAATCACAACATTAACATTATTCCTACAAATTTGTAGACTGATGTAAATTATAGTCGCTTATAATTTCTTTGTTATTGATAATTACAATATACAATAGCGAAAACGTAAATATTATTTTACTTGTTATAGAGTATCCTTCACATATGTATGTTCTATTTAATATAAACTGTTTTATATTGGAAATATACATACCATATACCGAATAAACTGTATACGTATATAGGAACGCATATAGAAAAACTAGTAGTTCTTGCAACTTGTGGATATGCTTCACTGTTTTTGTAGGTAACTATGTGATCTTGAACTAAATTTCTGACAGTCTAAGATATTCCAGATCATTTTTCTATTTCTTCTCATTAAACTTACATTTGAATGTCTTTCAGCAGGACTGAAAATCTCATTTGTTCAATCGTTAGGTTCCTTTACTACTTTGCATATTTTTCTAAAAATTGCACGCAATTTCTTCTTCTATTTTTACTAGCCAGGAATTAAATGACAATAAACCATATTTCCTATACTAATCATAAAACAAATTACTAATCAGTGGCTATACTTACCCTTGACATTTTTTTTCTAAACATGAACTGCTATTCAGTCAGACGTTTATACTGTAATCATTTGCAGTAATGGTCAACAGGTATGTATAATACCTAGGTTTTGTCTACATGTGTAAATTATGTAACATCATTACAATTAATCAAGTTATTAGTTAATAACTTTCGAATAGTATAGAACATTCAAGTAACAGCTCTCTCAATCACTGATGTCCTGCAGTTACTAATGGTTTATCTATATTCCTTGTCTAACAGTTAAAGTCTCTAATTAACACTATAAGACTTAATGAACTTTTAAATCTTTTTAAATTTTTGTTATTCCCAGTCAATACTTTCAGACCAAAATTTAAGCTCAAATTTCAAAAACTGGAAGAATTATACTTCCATGGATATGATACTATTGTAAAAAAACTTAGTTTTGTGCTAAAAAAGTTACATAAAAAACATTTAATACAAAAAATGCACGTTTTGAAGACGTGAGCTTACAAACTATAAGTTATCAATATAAAAATTTCTTATGTTAAGGCTTACAATTTTAATAATTCTATAAAGTAATTATAGTATTAGTAGGATCACTTTACTGAAGCATCTGAAGAAAAAGATACTCAACTTGACAATAGTTATTTCAGGTTTATAGCCATTCTAGTTTTATTTAAACTGGGCCACTTAAAATGTGTACATTATATACAATACTGTTTTAGATCATTTTTAAACCTAGAAGAATCAATGTACAGACACATAAATACATATGCCGTGTCACAAATGAGACACTACATTTGAAAAACAAACACAATATAAAATTTATGCTCACCAGAAAAATCTTATGCAAGTCTAATCAATTTACACATCACCTTCACCATAAACACCTTATATAGCACTAATCTTCACTGGTAGGTACCCACCAGAGGGCAGAAGTTTCCATTCATCTCATTGAGAAGTGCCAAGGTGAGGTTCTTTGGACCACTTGGAACTTCTCATTATGCACTGCTCACCATTTTTATTTTTCAAAGCACAAGAACTTATATGAAAGAAAGGCAGCTTAGCTTTGTACCAACAAGATGAATATGTTCTTTCAGTAGCAACATGTTCAATAATGATTTCCAAATCAGAGTAAAATGCTGCTTTTCTTAACTCTTGGAATGTTACTATATTGCCATGTAGAAAAAATGTTTTTTTAGAAAACTATGTCTAACATCCTCAAGAAAGTTCATTTTACTTATCTTGTTCTAAAAATTCAATAGTTTTTTCACTTCTTCCACTTCTAGGTGTTCAAAAACAAAAAGGAAGGTTGTGTGCTTCAACACAATATGGTTAACACATCAAAGTGAGAATTTCTATTTTATTAACACAAGGCATGATTGGGATTATCAAGTCATTAGACAACTGAAAAACTATCTGTTAATACTTGAGTAGCTTCAAGTGAAACAGACAGCTACCACCTTAAAGTTAAAAGCAGAACAAAGTACTTGGAAAGCTTATTTTCAATGAGATAGTAGCAATGTTATATTAAACTCATGTTGAAACTATACAAAAGACTGTATTATTAACACAGTATGGGTATATAAGGCTTATTTCTGTAGAAAAAAAAATTACATGCTACATCATTGTCCTACATGGCAGTTTAACACATCAGGTAAAAAAATTACAATAACAAAACACTAAAACTGCCAAGACAGTCTTTGTTCTATCAACTTTATGGCTAGAGTTTTAATATCATCACATATAATAACTTTTAGGGCAAAATAACTACAAATTATCTGCATAATTACTAAGTTGCTCCTGTGGTGTCAACTGAGTTATGTCAGATTCATCCCTTGAGAGCCCTGGATCTTGACTTGCAGGAATTTGTAGTTGTCCAGTTAAAGTTGTGTGGGTTGAAACAGGCTTGGAGAGTTGGGTAAGCATCATGTCATTGTTGGATGTCATATGATCACGTCCAGGTGTGCCACTAGTCAGAGAGAGACCAGGATGAGGGGAATGTGTTTGTGCTGGATAATGTGGAGAATGTACTAGCTGTTGTCGAGGGGAAGGTATAGGATGAGTTTGTGTTGTGGGTTGACCTCTTGGTGAGGCAGCTGACTGAGGGGACCTCACAGTCTGTACTAGCTGAGTAGTAGTAGTTGGAGGTGATCGTCCAGTTTGCATTAACTGCTGTGATGGTTGAGGATGTCCCATTAGTCCTTGCTGTGGGCTTAAAGGGGGATGATTTGGTGAAGTTATATGTTGTTTTAACTGTTGAACTTGTTGAGGCTGCATTATTATTTGCTGCTGCTGCTGATACTGTGTAAACTGTCCTGCATTATCAGGTTGAAAGTTCTGTTGATGTGTATTGAAATTTATTGGATGGGATGGGCGTTGACACTGGGCATACAAAGCAGCCTGGGGTTGCGAAAACTGACCATGTTGTTGCTGTTTTCGCTGCATTGCTAGTACTTGCTGTTTCTGAAACCACTGTTGTTGTTGCTGTTGTGTCAGTTGGCCTGGTGGTACTGGTTGGGGAGTACCAACTATATTTCCCTGGCTGGTAACCATCATTTGTTGTTGCTGCTGTTGTTGTTTTTGAGCTTGTTGTTGGGCAGTTCTCTGTTTGATAAAGTAAGCCATCAACTGTGGATTAGTTTTTAAAATTTGCAAAACTTGTTGTTGCTGCTGAGGAGAAGTTGGAGATTTCAACATCTGTAACAACTGAGGTAAACCTTGGGGTAATTGAGCAGGCCTTTGAATTCCAGAACCTTGGCCACCAGCACCTTGAGAAGGACCTATAGTGGTGGAGACTCCAGAGCCAGGAACCAACATCTGACCAGTCTGATGAAGACCAAGCTGTTCTGGCTGAGGAGCCTGTTGTGATTGAAATGAGACAGGTCCTTGTTGATTGTGACTGTTTCCATCCCAATGTTTTATTGCTCCCATATTGGTAACTCTGTTTCCCATGGAAGACACCATCTGTCCAATAGGTTTCTGGATTGGTTGTTGAACTTGACTGGAAAGTAATAATCCTGTCCCACAAGTTGCAGTGTTAACTACAGGACTGACTTTTCCATAGCCTCCTGCAGCAACAATATGAGGAGCCTGTTGTCTGGCAGCTGCTGCTTGGACAGCCTGGACGGCTTGAAGTGCACCAACTGGTGGACCAGAGGTAGTGGGTTTCACACCAATCCCAGGCTGTGAATGTTGTGGAGATGAGCGTGGCTGAGAAACTGGAGATGTCTGGCTTGGTGTAGTGGGGCCTCCTGGACTAGGCTGGGGGAGTTGACTTGGCATCCCTCGGTTCTGCATGGTTGCCATACTGGCAATACGTCTTCGTAATATTTGAGCTTGTTGTACCCTCTGTTGAAGTTGCTGCTGTCGAAGTTTGTGCTTGATGTTTAAGCAGAATGGTACAGGACACTTGGCTTCCTAAACAGCAGAAAATAAACATATGTAAAAGATATCATCCAAACAAATAAAAACAAGTAAAATTTATCAACAATACTGATGTATAGTTAACTTAGCAATCAATAAATTCAAAATTAAAAAAACAGGTCAAACTATTTTGTTTAATCCTTTCTTTTCCAGTAGAGTGAATCAAAGTTGCAAACTGTATAAAATAATGCATTAAATGCTTCATATAAGATCTTAGTTTACTTTTTTGAACAATTTAAAACTATGTTTTATTAAATGATTAGTAATATTCAAGACAAATTTAACAAATTCCTAAACATTTCTGGAAACAGATATAGTCTTTTCAAGTTTCTAGCCTATAGGTAACTTGTGTTCTTTGTCTGCTATCTATTCCTTAAAATTATACTTGACAACCATGGCTTTCAGTTTTCTCTATATAAAAAAAAAAAAGAATTAAAAACTGAGGTAAACTCAGTGACTGTACTTAATACCAGCTATGACAAATATACTGATGTTACCAAATTAACATTAATTCATTATTTTTTAAAACCACTCAATTACTGAAGTTTAAAGCAAATTAACAAGAAATAAACATAGCTCTGTATACTGAAAACACAAGCAAATTAAATTTAAACTTGCTCTAAAAAAGAATTTAAAGACAAAAACGTTTAACAGTGCTGTCTAGGTTTTGTTGTAGATCAGTAATTTTACTGTAAGATTTATATTGTGAAAACTTGTACCTATATGTAAGGCACATTAATTAACTGAAATCTATAAACATGATGTAACCTTAGGCTTGACATTATTGTTTCAATTATCTTTTCTATCCTGTGATTTTTTCTAAATCACAATTTTGCATCTTAAGAACTTTTAAGCTGGTACAATTGTTGTTCATGCACATTATATAACAAAACCTATATTGTAACCTGCCAAGCCTGACGTCAGTGATAAAGAATATTATCCAATAATGTATTTTTAAAAATTGTTCGATATTAAAGACAGCATGGCATTAATTTAGATCATACATACATATATCTCTCTATTCGTTTATAGGGAAAGTGCATTTGCGGTTGTCTAGCTTTCCAGCTAGAACTAGTATTCTTGTTTGCTTCACCTAACAAGGTACAAGTCACAACATGAAATGCTTACTAACACTGTTATGGTATGTCATGTTATCCAATGTTACTTGATATTTCATAAAAGAAAATCTTTCAACAGCAGCAGGCATTGTTCAGCATATTACTTTAACTCTAAATTAAAGATGAGAATATTAGAAAGTTAAATTATTTCTCAAAAATAAAACCTACTTTTTGGAAACGTTTTATAGCAACACTAGTTTATATTTTTTTCTTGTGAGTAAACTATTTACAGCTTCAAGGAATTGAAAATACGTCATTTTAAATATTCTATTTTCAATGCTTTCACTTATTTTTCTTCATATAAAAGTTCTGTCTCTACTGCACATTTTTGGCTAAAATAGAACATTTTTATATCCTTGCCAAGTTTGAGACCATTAAAAAAAACATTACCTGGCAATGTTTTGCATGATAACAGCATAAAGCAATGAGTTGCTTGCAGATGGGACAGCCACCATTTGTCTTTCGCTTGCACATTTTAGCATGCTGGACAACTCGCTTCATCTTTTGACAACTAGGCAACCGGCAATTGGCATCTCTGCACTGGCAGGCATGAACCAGTGACTGATTACACCTTTGAATAGACAGTCTTCTTGATTCCTGAGGTGTAGTCTGTTTCTGATCAGTGGGAGTCGAACCATCATCCAAATCAAACCCAAGTTTTTCCATTTTATGAGGATGACCATCTTTATCAAAGCAGGTAACACACAAGTCAAAATCCTTAAAAAAAGAGAATGCACATATAACTAATTATAACTACTAACATAACGTTACTACTAATTTACAGCACTGCAACCAGGACATTTCACTCATGCACCATAAGTATGAAATTGTATGAAACATTAAATCAGGAAAATATACATTTTTTTTATTGAAAGAAACCAAAATTTGTAAATCTATTTAGTTAGTAGATTTTTCAAAATAATTAAATAAAGATTCACAAGCAAAGAAAATAGATTCAACATCAGAAATACTGAAATTCTTCACATTTTGTAATAATTACACTATTTTTTTGGCTAATGCCATACATTACTAAAAGAAATAAGGAGTTTGTAAAATGTTATTACCATAGTTAATGATATGCACTTTTCATTTTGACAGTTGTATTAAACAACAATAGTGAATAATGCAGCCTTGACAAATAGAAGGATAGCATTATGCTCAATCAAGTTTTGGAAATGAGGCTTAACTGAATACAAGTTACACTGAAAACACCATATACTGACTAGATCATAAAAGTACAAACATTCTGCAGAAATACAGTCAGGTTTGTATATTACACCTTTTTTCTTTTGTGCACGTGTGTGCAAACTGTTTATGAAAATACTTATATTTGATACACAAAACAAACTCAGCATATGATCAATTTAGCTGTTGTAGAAATGTATTTACAATAAGGTTATTCCATAAAGAGATACATCACTGCATAGCATTAAGCAACACTATGAATGCTACGTATTCTGACATATATATTTTGATTTTGACAAATGAATTGTTTTTGTTTCCGTAAAATAATACTAACAAAGCCAATGAGTGTCAAGTATTTGAATAACAGAAAGAAAGAAGCATATAAATTACTCACATCACAAACTGTACAGTGGTATCTTGTCTCAACATGTGTCTTGCAGTTATTACATGTATATACAAAACGATCCTGCCCTTGATTATGAAGTTCATACATCATTGCCATAGTTGAAAATTTGCAGCGACGAAGAGATGAAAATTCATAATGCTTTTCTCTAGCTATTGTAAGAAAGGTATCTCTACCATCCATCAAATCACAGTTTATAAGAGGATCTAGGTCCTGGGTTGGAGGTAGATTAGCAGCTGCCTGTACCGAGTGAAGACGTATCACAAAAAACATCTGTTTAAATGATAATAAAAAAAAATATATTAATGATGAGAGCTACAGTTTGGGTTAACAACTACTTACTAACAACTGCACATGATCAGAGTACAAAGTTTATTAGAAAATACTGTTTATAAATAAAATACACTAATTCATTATCATAATTTGATTTTTTTTTGTATTTTTATTTAATGTATTGGCTAAAACATAACTGTAAAGTTTACAAATGGTACTAAAAATAATTGAAGTTTTATGCTAATTTTTATTAAAGTTGAAAAAGCTTACTACTGGGGATTAAACACACAAAACTAAATAAATAAACCTAATTTGTTGAAATAAGTATATTTACATGAAATTCCACAAAACAAAAGCAGGAGTAGCAGGGTTTAAAAAAACTGTGAAAATACATACATAAATATACTTCCATTCATGGCATAGCTACTATGACTACCTGATGCCATCCCTAATTTTAAGCTAATGATCTGAGAGATGACAACCAGTTAGAAGTTAACATTTTTTTATGCTGCAAATGCATTTTCGATAGGTACTTACCTCTTCTTACACAAAGCTATCTCAATCTTCTTTCTGCCCCCAAGCATTGTTAAAAAAGTTTAATGCTCAGCACACCAGTCAATATACCTCACAAATTTCATCCCACTTTTAAAAATGTGTATAGCATATGACTACCCTCCACCAATAGTACTGTGCCACTTATATTGGCTCAGCTAGCTCTCATTGATGTTCCCACTCAATCCTCACATTTGAGAATTGCCAGGATCTAAAATGAAGAAAGGATGGGAAGTGTGTGAGAGGAGGTAAGCACATATTGGAAATACATTTTCAGTGTAGGAAAATGTTAATTTCTGATACAGTCTTACCTCTTCTAACACAAAGCTAGAATCCCACATTGAAATGGTGGAGGATCCGTTGGAGGCACCTAACACTGAAACCACATGAAAAGCAAACACCTGGAAGAAGGAAATGAACCTGACATGGGCAGAAAAAAAAGGATTTGCATAAGCTTAATACATTCTGAGAAGTGTAATCATATGAAAGAATGGAGTGAGTACAAATCATCCATCATTGCACAAACCAGAAACACGTGGCTCCTGTAGGTCAAAAAATCACTTGATGAAATGAATACTCGAAGCAAACTTGATACCCAAATGAGGACGATTGGCAAGTCAAGGGACAGTATGCAAAATATGATAGTGGAGAAAAACAACTAGCCATGGCAATGGATCTTTCCAGATAAAAACAAGTTAGAGCAACATAAACATTGAGGTTAGGTCATGTGGACCGTGTGGTACATATACACCAACCCTAACCATAAATAGTGTGTCATACATCAATCAAGTGCAATTATGAAGAGAAAAATAACATTTGGCCAAAACTAAACAAACTCTCATAACTACCGTAGGATAAAGAAGTACAACAAACCAAACCCAGCATTACGGGGTCATGCTGATGCCTCAACTCAACTGTAAGAACAGGGCAATACCTGCAACCAGTATTAAGAGCAGAAATCGTAAATCACTCAACCATAAATGTAGAGAAGACGTATTCTGCACCTGGAATTACGAGGAGGATGTGGAACATTTGTTAAACCATAGGAACAGTGAATGTTGCTGGTATTATGAGACAGACAAAGTTCCCCAAACTCAACTGTAGGAGCAGGGAAGACCTCCTGCAACCAAAATTGATCAGAAGGGTGGCCTCTACAGCACTTTACGTAGGAGCAAGAAGTACAAAAAACTGAACCCAGCAATTCAGGATTGTGCCAATGCCCCAACTCAACCATAAGAATAGGACAACACCTGTAACAGAAATTCAAAATCACCCAACTGTAAATGCAGGGATGATACATCCTGCATATGAAATTATGATGAGGATGTGGAACATCTGCTCAACATTAGGAACAGTATATGTTGCCGGTATTATGAGGCAGACAAAATCCTCCAAACTCAACTGCAGGAGCAGAGAAGAAAACCTCCTGCAACCAGAATTAACAAGATAGGGAGCCTTTACTGCACTCAACAGTGGGAACATGGTGGTGTCATCCTGAATACAGTATCATTAAGAGGATCCCACATAGGGTGGTCTTGCTCAACCAACATTTGGTCCACCTGGGAATAAGCATTCAGTAGAAAGGGAAAGAGGAAACCCAGGAGGAGAAAGAAATAGGTCTTGAGGAAGAGATGATATATGGAACATGTTGACAAAGATTCAAAGGGAGGATGGGAAAGGGTATAAAGGACCAGGTAACTGAAAGGACAGGGAGGAGGAAAGACACACAAATAGTGGAAAAGGATCCCTAATGACAGGGGAAAACAAAACCTTATGAAACTCACAGAAACAGAAGGTGTTTGACAAGGCTGCTTGATAGCTATACATGGTCAAAGTGGACAAGACTTTGTCAAACAACCAGGTGAATAATTCGGAAAGATGAGGAATGGGAGGGTGGAAAGGACAGTAACCACCAACCAAGGTCAGCCCTGATTGGGGAAAGAAGTAAAAATTCCACTGAAGGGAACTCATATGAGCCCAACCCAGGGGAATGAGATCCCACATCCTCAAAAGAAATAGAACCTGACAAGCTGTTATAAAATTTGAGATGAAGATGAAAAGGAGAAGGATGGGCCTGATTGAGGTGGGAACTGAAGAAAACCCACAAATGAACAAGGTATTGAGTGTGGGTAAGAATATATTTCTCTACTTTTATCAGGAATCCTACTTGTGCTTCTTCGTGTAGGAACAGATGAGTGTGGTCTCCGAACTGTGAATGGGAAGAAGCGAGCAGGAGCCAGTTGTCCATGTAATGATGAGTGTGAAGACTCAACAAGTGAAGATGTCGGGCAAAAGTTCATACCACTCAACAAAACACATAAGAAGCCGAGGTTAGTCCAAATGATAGTGCTCAGAACTGGAACAAATGACCCTCATGGATGAACCAAGAAAATGATGTGACTTGGGAGCAATGGGGATGTGAAGATATGCATCCATCTCACTGAAGTTGGTCATCTAGATTCCTGAGGAAAACATAAACCGAAGTGAGAGACAGGACTCCACAGTGAAATGAGGGGGATCAAGGAAGGAATCAATTGGGATAGATCGATGATAGGTCTCCAATCTCCCGTCTTCTTAGGATATGTTCAATAGCTTCTTTGCAAAGCAGGTCATGGACTGCCTCAGTAAAATGACAGAGAGAGGTAGGATCCTGTGGAGGTGGGAAGGAAACAGGGAAGTGGGAAAGGGGAGGTGGAGACTAGAACTGAATGCAGAGACCTCTGGACATAACCCATAGAATCTATGGATATGTTGCAAAATCCCCCAACACTACAGAAAAGTGGTGCAATGTGGCCCCCACAAGTTTCAAACCCATCATGGAGTCACCTATACCTTTGGTGTCATTTAGCACGGGAGCAGGAAAAATAAGGATAGGGTCTGGAGCTCTGAACAGAAAAGTAAGGAGGTTGGGAAACAAGGGTGGGTGCTTTCGGGTAGGAAGTGGGAAGTTGAGATAATAGTGTGGCCAGAGAAGACAGAGACAAATACAATCTAGCCACTTCAACTCTGGATTCCAAAGAATCTGGAAGACCTGCAAATATGGTATTGTGCAAGAAAAGGGACTGATGCAGATCCCGTAGAGATGAATGGGGGAGATTCACCCCTGCAAGTACTACATCTCTTACCATGAAGTTCCAACAGCACAGTAGCCAGGTATAACAGGTAGAATCGAGCTACAGTGGACCAAAGAAGGTACCTGAGTTCATCGGAAAAAAGATCCGGGGAGGGTTGAAAAGTCTCCAACAATAAATGGAAGGAAGACAGGTGTCTATAAATAGAGGAGAGGGAAAGCAAATCCTTGAGAATTGTGCCTGATTAAAATGAACATTAGCCTCAGGAATCGAATTCCAAAGAGGAAGAAGAGGTTCCAGTCCCTGACAATCTAAATATGGATCAGAAGAGCAATGGTACGCTAAAGCATGGTGGTCCTCCAGACAATGAAGGTTGGGCATGCCAACACCTGACAATAGTTGATCCAAAAATCATTGCACATGAACCCTTATGTTGAGTGAAAGGGAAAAAGCATAAAATTCAGAAGACAGAATTTCACACAAAGAGGATGGAGAGGCATCAACGGCGATAGGAGAAACGTAATAAACCACATACCTGATTAACCAGTGGAAGGTGAGATCTCCTAATGAGATGTAGAGTGTGACAGATTAAAATAAGAAAGTGCCAGAAAAAGTGAATCCAAATTGTCTTCTTGATTGTATTCATCATCAGAAACATTGTCAGGTTGAAAAGGAGAAGAAATTGATGACCAAACATATGAACCTAGCTCCCTGCAAATTAAAGCCTGTACCTACTCTGCAGATAAAGTCGAAACCAATGCCTAACCCAGAAAAAAAAGTTAAATAAGTGAATGCAAACACAGTAAAAGAAAACTGTTGAAAATAAATTGAAATGTCAATGAAGGACAATGATAAACATTAGTCACCTGTGAAAAAACGTGCATCTAAACAATGCTGTGAAAGTGAGGATTGAGCAGGAACATCAGAGGGAGCTAGCTTTGCCATAATAGATGGAGAAATGCTATTGGGGTGGTCACATGATATGTACATATTCAAAAGTGGCATGAAATTTATGGGGGTATATAAATGGTGCACTGAGAGTTAAAATTTTAGCCATACTTTAGGGGCAGAAAGAAGATAAAGATAGTTTTGTGTGATATGAGGTACAACCATTTCAGAAGCTCCCTGCTAAGGGATTGACTGGCACTCTTATAACACATCCACAGTTTAAAATGTGGGAAGTATATCTGGTAAAACATGGATTCAAAACATGTTTGAAAGCCCCAAAATCCAGAATTCTACCACCAAGAAAACTTGCATCTTACACATACATAATGATAATAAAACTTTCTGTAGTACAAAAATTCATTTTCCTGCATCATAAACCAAAAAAAAAAAAAAACACACCCTTACAGATTCTGAACGTTTTGAAGAGTTTTAGTGAGATAGAGACTATTACTTAGAATTTAATATTTATTGAATAAAAAAATTAAATTGGACCAGGCAATAATTTGAAAATTGCAGAGCATGTGACAACTGGAGCTATTTTTAAAATTTATTCTTGACACCATAAAAACAAAACGCTAGCTTCTATGACAAAAGAGCACAAGAATGATTGATTACCCACTGAGATATTGCTTTTAAGTTATGAGAGTTTAAATAATAAAAATATATATATTAACGCAGTGACACTTTGGATTAGAACACAAAAGTTACAACTAGCTATAATGTTTTAAAATACAATTTTCAGTTTGGCTCTCAAAAAAATTATAAAATTAGTTGAAAGGTCATATCATTTATACAATTGTTGCATAAGCCCAGAAAATGCATCTGGCAAGACTTTTGAGAAATTGACAATATTCTGTTATTAATCAAAATGTCTTAAAAAAATAAAAAATTAAACACTATATATATATATATATATATATATATAGTAGTCTGTATTTATTACTATAGTACTATTTAGTTTAGTTAATACTAACTAAGACTATTAATTTAAATTAAATAAGTGAACTATACAAGTAATTATTTGTCGTGTAC